GAATCATCATCAAAATCAACAAGCTTCATGTCCATCAAGTTCAACATCAAGTCCTTGAATGTTCAAAAATAGGTCTCCTCGGTAACTTTCAAGATAGTAATATGAACATTAGATGAGCGGACAATGCTTGTGCATATCTTCTCTCTAAACTTGCCAATACAAAGAAAAATGGGACCCATAAAATGGTCATTCAACAAACACTAACATGCTCGTCAGTAGATAAAGATGAATGCCTCATAACCACCACTAGATCCACCTAGATGACCCCTATAGTTGCATACTTATGGGAGGGAACTTAGCCAAAAACACCATGGAAGCCTAAAAGATAAAAAAGTGATCCTTGCAGTATGTGCTTCTCGGCATAGAGCTTTACAGACAAGGCTTCCCACACCAATGTAAAAGTGCATACCTCCCTAACAAACTGAGTACATCTTGAATGAATTACATAAAGATGTTTGTGCACTACACTCGAAAGGAAAGCAATGGCAACAAGAATTCTTCAAGCTAGACACTTTCAACAAAACATGCAAAAAGAATGTCTGAAATATGTTAAAAAATGTGATCAAGGCTAACACCATGAAAATTTTTACATATATTCCCAAAGGAACTACACAACGTGTCGTCACTTTGGCCTTTTGGAATATAGGGAATGGATATTGTTGGCCCATGTCCACTAGCTAAAGGATAATACAAATTCATTCTTGTAGTGGTAAACTACTTTACAAAGTGGATAGAGGTTGAATCCTTGGCCACTATCTTGACATAACAAGTCAAAAAGTTTGTATGGTAAAACATTATATGTCATTTTGCCATACCACATACAATCATCACCAATAATGGTCGACAACTTAGCGACAAAGGATTAACAGAATTCTACAAGATTTGAACATTCAGCACACCACAAGTTCTATCGAACACCCATAAGCAAATGACCAAGCAGAAGTTGGAAAGAAAGTAAATGGTTGAATTAAAAAGAAGAATAAGATAAGCAAAGGGGAACTAGGCCGAGGAATTGTTCAAAATGTCGTGGAAATATCGATACACTCCTCAATCCTCAACATAGGAAAACATCTTATAGTCTTGTCTACGGTGTGGTTACCATGATCCTGATAGATGCCTCACTTGTATTAACTCCTCTATTTTGTCGTTTAATATAACACATTCAATTCATCAATGGCGTGTTATTAGTTTTTGTGGTATCAGCAATGCTTGTTGTGGTCAACGTTTGGAAGGGTTGATACTTTTATAAGGGTTGGTATGAGATTTTTATTAAGGGCCTCCTTTAATGCTCTAGCCTAATTGATGTTTAAAGGCATATATTGTAGGAACCTCAAACCATAGGGCTCTCTCGATCTTGTTGGAAGGGTCATCTTCCACTTCCCTTATCTACATTCTTCATTTTTGAAATTGTTTTGACCCTCACTTGGCTCCGAAATTCTTTGAGCTCATCTAATTACATGAACTTGGCTACTTGATTTCTCAGTACATCTTATAGAGGTTGTCTGAGAACAACTATCTGGTCTTGGCGTGATTACCATATGATGGAGGGTCACCACAAGGTTTAAGTTCTTGATGCTCAAGCCACCCTGCGGAATCTCTCCATGAAGGATTGGAGCGACTCGACAAATGTTAACCAGTGCAATTAACATGAAGTGATGTGGACAAATGGTGGTAAATTATGTGCCAAACTTTTCTATCAACACGTCAAAGTAATCAATGGTGTTTGGGGATAGTCAGGTGAACCAACTTAAGGCTAACCCCTTAAGCAAAGTGGGAAACTCTCGACAAAATATAGCATCCTCTAAGGTATAAAGTCTGACTTATGTTACGTATATGTTGACATGTTCATTTGGATCACTTGAGTCGTTGTATCTTCCGATAGAAAGTTTCTTCCATGTAGCTGGTAGAAGAGTTTCCGTTATTCCATTGACAAATGGGTGTCTTCTATGTGCTTCAGTTTGCGAAAATAAGTAGGACTGTCAAAATGAGCGGCCCAGCCTGACCTGGCCTGGTCCTATGGGCCAAGTAAAAAAAAAAATCTAATGACACAATCTGACCTATATTTTAAAACGAGCAAAACTTTTGGTCTAACCTAACCTTATGTTAGGCCAACGATCTAACAGACCATCTTTTGCCTAATTAAAAATATTTTTTTATTTATATAATATTTTTTAATTTTGTTTGAAGAAAAATATGGTCAGTTCATAAACCTACAGAGCTAGTCTGACCTAAGCTCATTTAGGCCTGATCTAAATAGGTCGGACCAAAATTTGTCTGATTCTATTTAGGCCACAAATATTTTGGGTTAGTTTAGTATATTTTGCGAGCCTTTTGGACTGACCATCAAGCTAAATCTATTTTGACAAACGTAAAAATAAGTGCATGGATGTATGGGTCGTTACCCAAAGGTTCCTATCATCATCAAATGCTCTAAGTCGAGTGCTTTGGGGTTGCTCTATGTTACCCTCCTTCTGCAATTTTTCTATCAATAATAACTCATTCACATGATGTTCTCCTTCTTGAGAGGGTGATCTTTCGTTGCTCTTCATATTTCTTGTAGTTGTTACCATTAGTCTATGCAAGAATATATTGCTCGATGGGACTATATATGGGTACCAAATATTCTTGTAAGGTGGAGAACCTCTTACAAGATCAAGTGTATATTCTAAACTTCAAATATTCGGGTGTTCCCAACGTTCTTTCCAATATATAATATAGGACGTGTCTTTAACATTAAGGATTGTCATTATGCTTGCAAGACATTCTGAAACTCAAGTAAATTATTATACTGATACAGGTAATGTAGGGTAATAAATAGTGGTCATTGAGATTTTCGTATATGTGGAATACCTCAATAAGCTTTTTCCATGGGTTTATCTTGGCCATTCTACTTTAATAGTATTTTCATAGCATATTACTTCTGGGACTACAGTACTTACAACGTGGACCATATAACTATAGTCACATCGTACGCCTACGATACAAAACATGCTGGTTCTTATCTTGTTTAAAAGCTATCGTAATTATCTAAAAAGTGAAGTATACTTTGAAGGGTTAACTTCCACACTATTGTGTCCACGTATGCATCCTTGTGACTATATCTCTTAATTCAAATTCTTTCGAAGCGAGTCTCTCAGACCCTTGTGTTTGAAGTCACACCCCTCTAAGTAAATTTCTAATGCAAATTGTCTCAAAGAGAGCCTTCCACACCTTGTGTACTAAGCGACACCCCTATGAGCAAACATCTCCAAATTCTCTCTAAATGAGTCTCTTAAGCAAATTCTCTTTAAACAAGTCTCTCACACTTGACACCCATGTGTCCATATTTACATCATTACGAAAGATCCTCTAAAACAAGGAGATGAGTCAAGAATATTCAAAATTTATGTGAATTATTACTAAAACCAAACATAACATAAAAAAAAATTCATATATATTCATCTTTTACCCTCAAAAAAATTTTCACAATTCATATTTTAGAAATGATGAAATAAGATAAATGAGAAATGAAATCACATATTTTTTATTATAACCCAAAAACTTAAAATAAAATTGCCATTATTTGTTAACTTTGAAACTTTTCAATATATACTCATACAAATATGTTCTTACAATATATATTATTTTTTATCATTACATTAAATATATGCTTGAGATTTCATTTTGAAAATGGTAGTTTTCACAAATTTTACTAATAGATCATTTTAATAACCTAAAACAAAGAAGAAATAATTTTTAGTTAAAAGATGAACTCAAATGCTCAAAAATTATTTGAAATATGAGATATTTAAATTTGTTACCAAATTTATTTTCTTGAATAAAGTTACAAAAATATAAAACAAAAGTTGAATATTTAAAATTACCTTTATTACTCTTGGCATATTTAAAACAAAAGTATCTGTTTCTTTTTAACAAATAAATTAAAATCAATTCATATTTGATTAAATTAGTGTAAATTTACATATACGTTGAATAAAACTTTGTTCAAAAAAGAAGTTTTATACTTATCTTCATCTCTATCTCCTTTAAAGAATTCAAGTAAAACCTCTACTTAATCAATTTAATTATTCTTTATTAAAGCGAGGGTAGACTCACATAGGTGTCACCAATTTGATGTTTTTTGTGAAGTCTGGATATGACCTACTGTCTTACTATAAGAGGGAGTTGAGGTGAACAAATTGGAGAAAACCTCATTTTACCAAGCCTTTTACTCAGAAATATGGCTACTTATTTTTGAAAACCATTCTCTCTATTTTTAAAAGCAAAAAAAAAAAACTTCTTCTGGCTTTCAAAAAACTAATATTTTCCAATTTCTAAAATAAAACTTTTGATTTCCTATTCTGGATTTATTATTGATGTGTTATACTTTGTTGTCCCATCTTCTTATACTCCCCTAATTAGAGATAAATTTAATATCATAATAATAAAAAAATTAATATATTAAAAAGACTAGTAGTTTAGTGTTGTTTCTATTTTTACTATTATTTTACTAATATTTGTGATTTTCAAATATTACAATTATTATTGTAACATTAAATATACTGTAGATTTTTTGGCAGAAAATCACTGGTTATATAGTGATAACGCAGTCATACTGCAGTCAAATACAGATCATGTTGGAAGAAATAGAAATATACCAAAAAGTGACTCAAGGCTTGTAAACAGAAGTAACATTTTGATAGATAAAGAGATTCAGATTAATGTGGCTTTTCCCAAAATATTTTCCAAGTTCCTCAAGCATTAAACACTCTTCAGGGATTCCTGATGTAATTAAACTTCAGTGAGATTTAGGCGTATGAAATCTGGACCTCATATGAGCTACACAAATCTTCTGCACACGAATTCTTCATTCTTTCCAAGTTGAGCATATGAGCAATTCTCAGGCTAATCTTCAAATTGGTAGGCAAACGAATCAATTTGTGATTGTAACACATAAGAAAGAAGTAAATCAGAGTTACGCAAAAATGGGTTTTGGTGTTCAAAATGATAAATTTGGTATATTTGTTCATGAATGACATCTCTTTCAAGGTGTGTCTACCTCGACCACAAGGTGGAAAGGAGCTTCCCCTTTCCACTTTCTGTTACACAATCAAGTACAATTTCTTGCAACTGTTTCTCCACATCTTCCATGGGTAGGCAAGCATCAACAACCTGCTTCAAACCGGTGGAATGAGAAGGCAAAAACGGAAGAAAAGGTTTAAGAGTATGAGGTTAATCCTGGCATGGTGCTAATAGGAAAAAAAATGAGGTATTGCCACTTTGCCAGACTGAAATTAGCAAGGGATCATTTAAAACTATTGATTTCAGGAGGAAAGGCCACATAAGCAGTTAATACCTTCCAGGAGACATCATGAAGAACTTTGTAATAATCAGCAACTTTCTTCTGAAATTCCAGCTTCTCATATCTCTCACCTCCATACCCACCTCTTTCCGCAGCTTTCTGATTGAATTTTTGTAGGGCATACAAATGTAAAATTGTAAATAGGCAAAAAAGGATTATGTGCATGAAACAAGCTCCTACATGCTAGCTAATTAACAGAAAGAAAGATTAGAAATCTAGATGCATGAATTTTACAAAACTTATCTATATATATTTGAACTTGAACCACACTCCCTTTGTGAAAGTAACACATCAAACCCATCCCCTCTTTACTTTAAAACCTTAAATCATAACAGCATGGAACATAGAAAAGGAAGCAGAGAAAATAGAAAATCAGTATCACTTTCCAGTGTACAAACATTTTACCTGCAAGAAAGAAAATAAACTAATCTAGAGAGCAAATTGTTTATAAAACAAACAAAGCAGCTTCGAGACTATCTTAAAACCTAACCCAATAAAGCACTATTCACACAGCAAGAAGTGTTGCATACCTCAGGAGATATGTCAAGGTATACTACCACGTCTGGTGCCAGCAAACCAATCTCTGGGGCCTGAAAAATGTCAAATACACTGTTTAACTAATAAAAGTCAGAATATAAGTAATTATGTAAACTCTAAACTGTACTAGAATGGAAATCCTCATGTACCACACATACTACTTTTCTTGTGGCCAATAAAAAAATAAAGAACCATGCTAAATCTTAATACCTTACACCATTCAATATCAAGTCCCTTGGCAGATGAGAATGCCACCCCAGAATAAGAATAACGGTCAACAATGAGAGTTGTTCCAGATTTCAGTTTTGTTTCCATCATTGACCTGCAAGGACAACACAACTTGATTGATGATATTGAAATGTAATCTTAGTATTCTACTTGTCATCAACGGCACTAGCAAAAATATCAGCAATGAAACACCCACGCAATATCGGCTAATAATCAGCGTACTTATATACATAACAGTAAGTCATGATATCACCAAGTGACCAAGGTCATAACTGCCACAAGGTGGATCTTGATCAAATATGTTTTAGTAGCCAAAATAGTAAATGATATACTTAAAATTACTGAGTCGTAATCATAAAAAAATACATACACTCATTAAACAAGAAAACAAAAAACAAAAAAAGTGCAGAAACCTCTTTTCCCAACGATTAGCACTGAAGAGGAGATGTATAGTATGATCATCCAACTGAGATGTGTTAGTAAGGTAAGCAGATATCATTTGCCCAACATTTGTAGTTCTGTCAGGAAATCTCCATAATTCAGCAGAGATCCCTCGTCCCTCCAGGAAGGACACTAGCCTGCTACACTGAGAAGATTTCCCAGAACGATCTAAGCCTTCTAGGACCACCAAGGCACCCCTAGACTCCTTTTTGTTTCCCTCTGTGCTGCTATTAAAATTAAAATTATTTTCCATTCTTATCATCCTTTGAAAACACTTGGAGGAGAATTTTGCTCCAGAATACAATGACTTCTGCAACACTAGCGTTCTGAAAATCCTGCAAAAGAAAAGGCAGTCCTTATAAAAGCAGAAAGGAAAGGAAAAATCTTATAAAAAAACTACTTCCATCTATCCTTCGTGGCCTCATTCAGAATCCCAGTGCAAATATAAATATTATAATTAAAACAGTAAGTTTTTGTATTTTTTTCCAAAAAAAAAAAGAAAAAAAAATCACACATTATTGGACCATACAATCAATCATCTGGGTCAAGCAAAATTCAAACAGTATACAAAAATTGAAAAAAAAGAGCAGGACAAGTTGTATACCAAGTATTCCAAAACCATAGCATACCATGTAACATTCTTCCTGGATTACAACTTTGTATCAGCAAAAAACACTGTTTTTTTTTTTGTGTTTTAAAAAAAATGTTATAACGAAACATCTTTAAGGTAAAAACCAAAAGAATAAAAAAATTCTTACAGTGACTTGGAAGCTGTGACAGAAGTGCCATATATCATATCCTCCCAAAGCCCTTAAACTGAACCGAAAAAAGAAGGAAAAAGTAATTAAAACATTAGCCAAATCATCTATGAATAAAGTAAGGATTGACACAAGATTTCTGTTAAGTTTTTATCCATTGTAAATCAGGGTTTGTTCTATTCTAGCTAAAGCTCCCTCCTCCAAAAAATATTGGGCACAGAAATAGGGATCAATCCGTGCCATTTTGAAGTGGGTTGGCCTAATAATTGAAGAAATGCAGAAAAACCTAAGTTAAATAACAAAACAAGACAAAAAATGATAAATTAAACAGGGAAAAAAAAATTAGAACCTGTAACGACCAGAGCCACAACTGAAATTGACATGAAATGCAGGAAAAAGCCAATCTTTTTATGTATCGGATTCCAGCGACCGAGATGATCGGTTATGAGTGACACTGGGCACACTGTGCAAGGCACTAGGTTTTTACTTTGCCAGACGAATTAGGAAAGTACTTTTAACTAATTGTTTATGACGAGGAAGTAAAGAGTTATGTTATGGCTAATCTGTAATTCGTGTACTAGCTACAACCAAATAAGAAATTCAGTTCCTTGGAAGTTTAAATAAAAATATAAAGTATTTGATACTTTTTAATTAATTGAATAATTGATTTGTCAAAATAAAATAATTTTAAATTATTCATTTATTATTATTATTATTTTAAATAATTAATACTTCTAATTTTAACATTTATTTTTTACAAATTACTTTAATATGTTTTTATTAAACTTAAATTTAATATTTATTGGAAGAATAAGGGTATTTCTAATTCAAGTACCTTATATTAATCATTCTCCATATTGAAAATTTTAAAATATGAATTTTTCTATCACATCATTCTTAAGCCATCATTATGAATTTTACTCTCAATAATTTTTTAATAAATTTTAAATATCTTATTTTTTATCTTATTATTTTTTTTCATTTATTTTGTTTTGATTATTTTTAAAAGTTGCTTAAAAAAATAATTGAAAAAAATTAAACAATTTATCTTATCATAAAAGTTCCTGAATAGAGTTGAAACAATTATTATTTTACTTAAATATTTCATCAAATAATTGTAATTAGAAATACTAAAAAATATAAAAGAAAATGAAAAATAAAGAGTCATCAGAAAAAAATATTATATATAAATAATAAATAAATGTAATTGGATAAATAAATTAATAAAATTATTATTTAAATAATTTTTTTAAAATATGTTATTTATAATATTAATTTAAAAAAGTACATATGTAATAATTATGATTATAAAATTTAAAAGTTTAAATATATTTTATCTCTAGTATCTTATTTTTGTTAAAAAAATGTGGTAGTTATTTTCACCATGTATTTTTGTCGATGAAATTTTAACCTCCTTTTTTTTAACCTTTGTAGTTAATTATTGGAAAAAGTATAATAAATTATTGGAATAATTATGAGTATCTTATTCTTGTATTTATAATTTAAATTTATGTCATATTTATAAATAATTTTTATCATCTTATAATTAAAAAGTATATTAAAATTTTGTTATTATATTATAAATCTTATAAGAAATAAATTATATTATAGTATAGAAAGTATTATATATATATATATATATATATATATATATATATATATATATATATAATTTGATATTCATTAGTCCAGGAATCATTTTTAACATCGGACTTTCCACTTCGGTTCTTAAAGAATCGAAATTTAAGACTTTTCACATCGATTTTGTTGAGAATATATATGAAAGTAGTCTCATCCTTGTCACATTCATCTACTTTTATCTTCTTCATTTATAACAAAGGTAATATATAAAAGTAGTCTCATTTTTCTTTATTAGTTTGTATTTCATGGCTTGGATTAATAGAGTATTTTAATATAATGTTATATTGCGATTGTTATTATAATTTTTTTTGTGAAAGATTTTTCATCTAACTTAAGTGAAATTATCTACATTTTATGTTTAATTATTTTTCGTATGTAGATAATGCTTCTATTTTATTTTCAAAATTTGTTGTTGCATTGAAATTGTTTGATAAAATATTTGTAAGAAATATGATTATATATATAAAAAAATTAATACAAGACTTTTTATGACAGTTATGTTAAGAACCAACATAAAAAGTTATATTTTTTATGTCATCCGGATTTATGTTGGCCATAAAACTAACATAAAAAATCTAAAATATTCGTCATAAAAAGTCTTCCTTACACTAGTGTATCGACAAATATTGATGAAATAAATTACGAGTAAAAAAATATAATATCACCTTTAACTTAAAAGATAATATCATATTCTTTTGTATAATTAATTTATTATCTTATTTGTGAATATCTCCAGTGTTAATTATAACATCCCCAAACAGTTACATTGAAACATAAAATTAAAATATCTAAGAACACAAATATATTTAGTTATTACATCACATGTCTACTTATGTTAAAAAGAGTATTATCATATTACATAAGGTTCTCATTCTAACCTTAAAACCATTTTAATCTTCTCCACTAAGGTTGAAAATTCTCTAATGGACAATCAAAGTTAGTGTCCTTTTCAACTTATGTCTTAGTCTCTTCCCAAATTTTCTACACCTCCATGCCTCAAAAGTAGCTTGCATATAGAATTGACTATGTATTCAAACCTAATGACATAAGTATTCATAGTCATAACACCCTACTTTGATCTAAAAAATGTGTCTCCTTAACATACTTTGCACTATTTAGAAAGTATTTTTCCAAAAATCTCATTCTAAATTTTTGGTAATCTATTACTTCTCCTTTAGCCTCCATCATTTGTTGTGTCCTCATCCACTAAAATTTCACTTCTCATAACAAAAAATATGTAGTAAAAGAAAGCTTCTTATTTGTAGTAGGAGGGGACAATAAAAATATTCTCAATCTCTCTAATCCATTAATGAGCTTGGTTTGGGGTGGTATTGCCACTGAACTTAGGAGGTTTATATCTCATGAACTCAATTAATATTAATTGTTTTATGGGCTAATTGGGAGAAGATGTTGTTGCAATTATTTTGGTGGTTTGTCACTACTCCATAAAAGCTCCCTGATCCTGAGTCATATTGACATTCTACTTCTAAAATTAGCCATCTTAATAGCTCTAGCTACTTGACACTTCTTTGATGAAGGTTAGAGGGGTATAGGAGGTCTAAGCATTATTCTATACCACAATTTAAGGAATAATTAAAAAATCTCCAAATTTTCTAAACTATTATACCAAACATATCTAATTAACCAAGCACTACTAAAACACTGTAAACCCACTTCAACAAGTCAACTTAAGGCTCAACCGACTCTCTTACAAAAAATGTAATATTCCCACAAACAGATACATCGAAACATAAAACTAAAATACTTAAGTACATAAATATATTTAGTTATTACCTTACATGTCTAAATATCTCAAAAGAAGCATTGTCACATTACATAACACCTTCTATACCTATTTTAAACAATTTGCGATTTGAAAAAGTGGTCAACATACAACAATTAAAAAATGATTTGCAAATATAATAAGTTATCCTCCCACATACTTCTTAGATGAAAATGTTTCACATTTTCACCAACGTCATAAATTCATCTTGTCCTTAATTCATCTTGAATGGTGTTGACTTGAATGTAGTTGACTTGAATCATCATCAAAATCATCTCTTGGGAATGTAGGAACATTTCCATCAATCTCCCCCTCATTGCTTTTAATCTCCCCTTTTTTTATGATGATCAAGGAAATACCTGAAATGAATTAAAATGCTTGACTCTATATAGCCAGCTCAAGATTAGCACAGATTTGTATCAAGTGTCAGAGTCTCTTAATCTCCCCCTAGATATATTAATAACAAGACTCCCCCTAACTCATATGAGCAAAGACTTTTCTTAACTCCCCTGGTTTAATTTAGAGATAGGAAATAATTTCATACAGATTTTAATTCATCAAACAATCTCCCCCTATTTCATTGATAATCATAAAAAATATTATAAGAGAAAAAAATCTCCCCCTGTTTCACACAGATTAATACTATCAGAATATCTCCTTGTTTCATTGATAATTATGAAAAATATTGCAATAGAAATTGAGAACAAATTTGCACATATTAGTACATAAATCAAGGTAGAGAAGATAATGCATTACAAAATGTCATAGAGAAGAACATCATATTAAGGAGGCAATATCTAGGATACTCAAGACAAATGAAGAGAGAGAAAGACAGGGGAATAAAATGATTATAGAGATATAGAATGAAATGTAGTAGTTTTCCTCAATTGCAGTCTTCTTATTTAGGCAACTTTCAAATTCAAATGCACTCATATTCCAGATTTCAAATTTCAAATTCAAATTGTAATAAATTTCAAATTTCAAATTCAAATTCCAACAAATTCCAAATTTCAATTTCAAATTTCTAATCCCAAATTTCAAATTCAAATTTCAAATTCCAATTCAAATTCAATTTCAAAAATCTCAAACTGCAAAAATTTCAAATTTCAAAATCTCAAACTATAAAATTTCAAATTTCAAAAATCTCAAATTACAAAATTTCAAATTACAAAATTTCAAATTTCAAAATTCTCAAAAAATCTCAAACTGCAAAATCTCAAATTTCAAAAATCTCAAATTGCAAAATTTCAAATTTTAAAAATCTCATACTGCAATTTTTTTTTAATCTCAAACTGTAAAATTTCAAATTTCAAAAATCTCAAATTTTCATAAATTCAAACTTTCAAATTTTAAACTTTCAACATAATTGATTATGACAACAACAAAAAAATTCTGATTCTGATAATCAATTAGATGCTCAAACTATCATCTAGACATGTATAAATGTTTTGTTCCTTTAGGCACCCATTCATATTTGTCATTAGATATGCCAAAATGTTTTATGTAACATTTATTTGATGTATGACCTATTTTCATGTAATAAAAACATGTTGGTTTTCTTTGAAAAGGTCTAAATGAGTTTCTTAAAGTTTTTGAAACTGGTTTCACATCTGT